GCACACTCACCAGACCTGGGCTAGGACTGGGTCTAGGGATTTAGTTTCAATCCTTTACATATGAATATCCAATTTTCCCAGAACTTTTTCTTAGAGACTATCTTTTCTACAATACATGTTTTTGGTACCTGTGTCATAAATTAGTTTGCTGAATGAGTTTATTCTGTGTTCTCTGATTTAGCCCCTTGGTCTACATATCTGTTTTTGTACCAGTATCTTTTTATTGTGACTGTATAATTAATTAATTAATTGATTTATTTGAGATAGGGTCTTCCTAGGTAGTTTAGACTGACCCTGAACTCACTATATAGATTGGTCTTGAGCTCACAGTGATCCTCCTGCTTCAGCTTCCTAAGTGCTGGGATTACTGGCATGTGCCACCTCCAGCATTGCTCCTTTTCTTAGAGTTGTTTTGGCTAATCTATCTCTTAACATAGTTCCATATGAATTACAAGATATTTTTTGTCTAGTTCTGTGAAGACTGTCATTGATATGGAGGGATTACACTGAATCTGTGGGTTTCTTTTGTTAGTATGGCCATTTTTATAGTAGTAATTCTTCTGGGCAATGAAGATTACCAGGTGTCACTAGAGTTGGACACAGAGCTTTTCCAGTCCACCTGTGCCTCAGCTCTGCCTTCTAAATACATTGGAATGGGAGAAAAGAGCTGAAATTAATTGTAAAACAATTGTAAAATTTTAACTCAATACACTATTTCACCATGTTATCAATGTAAGAATTTTTCTAAAACTGGTATGCGTTTCACAGTTATCATAGGGTAGATACTAAACACAAAGCTGGTTTATCTTTTATAGAAGTATTCACTTTGGTTTGTTTTTTTTTTTACATTCTTCTTAGTGTTTAATTGCTGTACAAGAAGTATTCACTTTGAAGGAAAGTGTCCCGACCCGCTGGTTAGTCAACAAAGGTTACCTGGGAGAGGAGCAGGGAATGGAGGGGACAAAGGACAGGAGATACGTGAAATGGAGACAAGACAGGATTCTGATCAAGTCTCGTTTATTCAGGGAAGGTGCTGGGTATATATAGGGAGCATAGGAATGAGGAAGTCTATGCTCTTGACGTCATCAGGTATCTAGGCAACGGAGGAAAGTCCCACCTCTGGGGCATAGCACATGATTCATGGGGAATGGGCAAGGCAGGAAGGACCAGAAACTTAACTCAGCAGGGGAATAGAAACTTAAGAAAATGGCTGACACTATTATAAAATGGATACCAGTTAATGGCTTCCCACAGGAAAGTGTATCAGTTTCAAAGTTATGTTTATCTAATTGAGTAAATTCATTAATCTCTTATATTAACTCATTATTATTATATCAAAAGACTACTACTTAAATCAAAAGCAACTTTAAGAGCCAGCCAGATAGCTCAGTAGACTGAAGCACCTGCTTAGGCAGGTGCAGGAATCAGGGTTCGATCCACAGTGTGCTGTGCTGTGCTGGCCCCATCCCCGGGGTGCCCTGAGACAGGGCAAATGAGACTGGCATGGTGAAGCGTGCCTGTAATCCCAGAGCTTGTGAGGCTGAAAACAGGAGGATTGCGAGTCTAATCTGTGTAGTGAGACCCTTTAGGTCCTGTACTAAAATACATAAAAAGGATACTATGTGATTATTGTTACTATTTCTTTGGTGAACCAATTTATGGATCCTATGGAAAAATTTCTTATTCATTTTTTGGTCTCTGTCTCTGTCTCTCTTCCTTCCCTTCCTCTCTTCCTCTCCCTCCTCCCTTTTTTCTCTGCCTCCTAGAAATAAACAACAGTTGTTACATTGCATATAATTTATTTGCAGTACTGAGTATTGTTTAGGGCCCTTTACCTTGAGCTATATCTTGTCTTTTTTTTTTTTTTTTTTTCAGACAGGCTCACTATTTTGCCCAGGAAGGGCTTGAACTTTTGGTTTTCCTGTCAGCCTCTCAGAGCGCTGGAGATATAAGTGCCCAATTTAGATATTTTATTCTTCTCTCACTTAGTTTGATTCTTAATGTTGAGAGGAAACTTTTGATTGAATTTGTGATGTGTTTGCTGAAAACATAATAATTTAGTATTATCCCATTTGTGACCTTTAAAACAAATTTTCCTCGTAGAAGCACGAGGGATTATTATGTAGCTCTGCTGCAGCAAATTACAGTTACCTTGAATCATGACACCTGTGACTACTTCATCCAGGCTCTTGTCTTTACTTTTTTAGTCATAGTCAGTTCTGCATTTGTTGTTTTCCTTTGTTGTAAATTTCAAAATTGGTTCACATTTATTTTTAATCACAGCAATTAAATTATAAATATTTCACATTTATTGCCAGTTATGATTCATGATGTGAGTGTATAATATTTATTAGACAAAGTAGAATATTGCTTTGCTGTGTGAAAAAAATGACATTGAATTAGTCTTTTGACACTAGCTTGGTGATGTCTTTATGTATAAAGTATAAATACAACAATATATGATGCAACAGTTAAAATACAATTTATTCTTTTTACAAAATGGTGAATAAATATATGCAATATAACATTTACTGTTTTAAGCATGTTTCAGTGTATCGTCCTGTGGTAGTAGCATGTTTATGCTGCTGTGCATCCATTGGTGCTGTCCATCTCCTGTGTACCTGTCTCATAACAACACCCCATTCCTCACCCACCCCATCCATTACATTCTACTTTCTGTTTTTATGCATTTGGATACTTATTATGTCTTAAGTGGAATTGCAATATTAGTTCTTTTGTGTCTTATACTTGGCATATGGCTTTCGAGGTTCATCCATGTTGCCTCAAGCATCAGAATTTCCTTCCTTTTCATGCTGAATAACAGTTAATTATGGGTATCCACTGTACCACATTTGGGCAGCCATTCATCTGTCAGTTTGTTCTTAGCCAAACAATAAAACTGTCTTTAATGTAATATTTTATATTGCTTTTGTTTTAGAATTTTAATTAAGTTAAATGTCTGTGAATTGTGTATGAAAATCTCTGCCCTAGTGATCCATTTGCACTCTAGTAATTATTGACATATGGTAAAATATAAATCTGTGTCGTTAGTTGTACCCCTTTCCTCCTTTGAATATTAGGGATTGAACTCAGGGGATCCCTAACACTGAGCTGAATCCCGTCCTTTTATTTATCTTTAGAGACTGTGTCTCATTGTGTTGCCCGTGTGGGACTGGAAAGAGATGAGATGTTGCCACTTGAGATCCTCCAGCCTCAGCCCCCTAAAGGTGGAAGTTACAAGTGGGGGCCATCATACTTGGCGATTTTTCTCTTTTGAATTCACTATGTAGCCAAGGCTGGCCTTGAACTCACAGCGATCCTCTTGCTTCAGCTGTTTGAGTTCTGGGGTTACAGGTGTGCACCACCATTCCTGGTTCCCATGGTTCTTTTTCAATTGATGTATATTAGTAATAGAGAATAATGATATTTGTTTTGGTTTATTGATACATGCATGTAATATGTTTTGATTATTTTTATCCATGTTTACTCCCCTCTCCCACCTCTCCCCTCCCTAATCCTTTTACCTATCTCTAAAAAACTTTTTTCTAGTTTCCTTTATTTTTCAGTTGCTTCTATAAGAGGGAAGATGTGATATTTGACTTTCTGAGATTGCCTTATTTTGCTTAACAGGATAGTTTTCAGTTCTATCCATTTGTTTGCAAATGACATGAATTCATTCTTCTTTATGTCTGAATTCTATATATATTGTGAATTGTGAATTCTGCTCATAGAAAATAAATATGCATGTATTACTCTAATATGAAATCTTTAATTTTTTGGAGAATATACAAAGAAGTGGTAAAGCTATAAAACATGGAATATATAGTTTTAATTATTTTTTAAATTTTTAGGTTTTTTCTGAAGACCCTCTGTATTGACTTCTGTAGTGGTTGGGCTAATTTATATTCCTACCAGCATGGTTGAAGGCTTTTTTTTTCTATTTTTATTTTTTTTTTCTATTTTTTATTTTTTATTATTGAGAAATAAATATGAATGAGACAGTTTCACAGCTGATTAATAGGACAGTTTTGATAGTCAATACACTGTACATTGATATCTTCTTAGTGGTTATCCATAGTACAAGAAGCAGACAGGATATTCTGTCCAAACACTGTTAGTTCACCTCTTTCTTCTCATTGAATTAAGTGAAAGTAGCTGTAAATGTATCCTATTTTGTATATATAAATACAAAGTGATCTTTCCTTTGTATCCTTTTTTTGGTCCTGTCAGAGGTGAATATTCTATTGGCATCTAAATACTATAGGTGTTTGAATTCAACTAAACAATCTAAAACTGTCTAGCAGTCTATAATATTAGTGGGTTATCCTCAGAAGTTATTGACTTGAGCCTTTTACAGCTCATCCTATTAATATAGATTTACTTTATATACCTCATTTTTATACTTTTCTGCTGGATGGTTAAGACCAAGATATAGCAAGACCTATATAACAAGAAATGTAACTTTTGTATCTGATAAGGTCAGCCAAGTACTCTCAGGATTTATCCTGTAGCCCTGTACCACCCTTTGTACATCCTTTTGTCAGTGTCAGACATGTGGATGAGTCACGGCCATTGCTTGACCAATTTGCTCTCTGTGAAAGCTTGAGAAAATATTTTTTCTCCCCATGTGACTCTCCCCAGGCTCATTTTACATCATCGAACACATTCCTCTGTGGCTGTATAATCTTCTTGATCAGAAAATTTGGAGCACAACTGAGTTACATGTTGTTACAGTACAGGTTCTCCTATGTCCCGAGTCTTCACTGACCTTGAAAGACTAGGGCCAAAATGTTGGCTGACCTTGCAGCCCTTCCTTTTCTCCAATTTTGAATGGCTAACTTAGGTTATTAACCCTCCAGAAGAGAAGCTAATTATTAACCTGCAATATATGCAGTTTGGTTTACCCTATCTGTCTAAATATCAAACATTTTGGTATATCATGGAACAGGTATTTTCCATCAGATATTGATATGTTGAACTTTAAGTCCTTACTTAAAGAAAAATAATTATATAAAAGTAGAAATAAGCATTTACATATTTTTACAATGAAATTTAGAAACCTAACCATATGCGGAATTGAAAGTCCTTATACTAGGGAGACAATACGATATTTACAGATATGGGTCGTTTATTTCACTAATAAGTGTATCTTCAAGTGGCATCCACTTAAATATGAAGGCTTCAAGTTTATCATTCTTTATAGCTGAGTAGTACTCCATTATATAAAAGTGCCACATCTTTTTCAACCATTCCACATGTGATGAGCATCTTGGTTGTTTCCAAGATCTGGCTATCACAAATTGTGCTGCTATAATCATAGGTACACATATATCACTATGATATGACGCTTTCAGTTCCTCTGGGAAAATTCCCAGTAGGGGGAGAGCAGGCTTGAATGGGATTTCCAGTCCTAGTTTGAAGGCTTCTTTTTCCCTGTATCTTTACCAGAATGTATCATTTTGTTGTTGTTGTTGTTCTTGGTGATAGCCATTCATATTAGAGTGAGACTGAATCTCTGTGTTATTTTTATTTACATTTCATCAGAGACTAAAGAGTTGAAATTTTTTTCTGTCATGTACTTATTAACCATTTATACTTCTTTAGAGAATTCTGTTCTATTCATTTGTCCTATTGATTGGGTTAGTTGGGTTTGTGCGTATGTTAAGTTTTTTGAGTTCTTTGTACATGCTGGACATTACTTCTCTGTCAGAAAAGTAGCTAGCAAAGCTTTTATTCCATTCTATAAACCATCTCTGTGGATTTTTTCCTTTCTTGTGTGGCCAGTTTATAGTTTAATGCAACTCCATTTGTTATTCTTGGTATTTCATGTGCTGTTGGTGTCCTCTTTAGGAAGCCTTTGCCTGTGTCTATGACTTTTCCTATGTTTTTGCTGAGACAAAATACCCAACACAAAGATTGGGAAGAAAAATTTTATTTAGCTTATAGTTTGTAGAGGTTACAGTTCATAAGCAGCTGGCTCCAAAGCAGGATGGTATGGCAGAGGAGCACCTGTTCAAGGTGTGAAAAGACAGCAAAAGCAGCAAGAGCCAAAGGAGCAAGAACAATCCTCTTTTCCTCCCTCATATTGTAAGCAGGATTTATTGTGTACCAGGGTACCACTATTTTAGTTTCTGTTCTTTTACTTTCTGTCTATGTCCTTGCCAGTGAGATGTATTTCTTGCAGGCAACATATACTTGGGTCTTGTTTTTTTGTTTTTGTTTTTTATTTTGGATCCAGTCTGCTGGTCTGTGTTTTTAAATTGAGAATTAAAACCATTTACATTAAGTGCTATTAGAGAAAGTTTTTTTTTTTTTAATGTATTTGGTACAGGGTTTTGCTACACAGTTTGGACTCATAGTGATTCTCCTGTTTTCAGTCTTCCCAGTGCTGGGATTACAGGTATGCACCACCGTGCCTGGTCTTGGTGGCTGGCTAAGTGTGCATGGTGCCAGGGGTGGGGCCAGTGTGGCATGTGGTGCCGGGGATTGCACCTGGGGCCCTGTGCTTGCCTACACAGGTGCTTAATCCGCTAAGGTATCCTGCTGGCCCTTGAAAGGTATTTTCTAATTCCTGTCATTTTATTGTTTTCTTAGTATTTGAGATGTTCTGATTTTCCCTTGTTTACTCTCCTAATGAATCTAGTCACCCCCATCCCTTTGGTTCTATAGTAGTGTGTGTATTCTTCTGTTTAGGATTCCCCTAACTAATTTCTGCAGTATTGCTTTGTGGTCATGAATTTCTTTAGTTTATACTTAATCTTGGAAGGTCCTTACTTTTGATTTTGAAGAACAGCCTTGTGAGTACACTATTCAAGGTTGACAGTTACTTTTTCTGAGGACTTGAAATACATCATTCCAACCCTTCCTTGCTCTAAGAGTTTCTAATGAAAAGTCTGTTGTTGTTCTAAAGGGTTTGTCTTAGTGATTTATTGTTTCTTTTTAACCACTTTTGGTAGTCTTTGTTCTAGATTTTTTTCAGTTTGACTATAATATATTGTGGAGAGATTTTTTTTTTTTCTGGTCATATGTTCTTGGTATTCTAAGTGCCTGTAATACCTGAGTCCTCTATTTCATTCCCTAGATTTGGGGACTTTTCTGCTCTCATCTGAATGACTTGATTTTTCTGTGCTATTAGCCTCTTTATTCTCCCAAGGACAAATAAATTTTAGATTATTATTTATTTGGCTAACATTTTCATTATTTCTTTTTTTTCTTCATTATTTTCTGAATGTCCTAGTATATCTACTTTGTCTTCAGACTCCAATATTTTTCTGATTTATATTATCAACTGCTGAGATTTTGAGTTGAGTTTTTTAGTTTATTTATTTATTTGGTAAAGATTTGGTAATGAGAATTAAACTCAGGACTTCATGCTTGTCAGGCAGGCACTTTGCCCCAGAGCTACATCCCTGGCCCCTGAGTTGACTTTTTTTTGACAAATTGGAGATTTCATTTCTAGAATTTCTGTTTGTTAGAATGATCAATGAGTTCAAAGAGGACACATATATCTGAATGGAATAAGAAAGACAATACAAGATATGAAAGACCATTTCAGTACAGAAATAGAGGTCCATTTCTGGTATTGTCTTTCGTACCTGGTATTGTCTTTCTTATTTCAGTCAGATATATGTGTCTTCTTTGAACTCATTGATCATTCTAACTATCAGTTTTTTAAATTCTTTGTATGGACTTTTGTCCACTTTATCTTTGGGATCCACTTTTAGAGAGTTTTTGGAGGCATTTAGTTGCTTGTTTGCTCACAATTTCTGTGTTTTTGTGTTGAAGTTTGCAGATCAGTTGAATGTATTGTGTGGAGGTCTTTTTAATAGGTGGATTTCTCTGTGATGTGTCCTTCTTTGGGGGCATGTCTCAGTATGAAAGTACTGACCCAACCCCTTCAAGTATAAGTTCAAACCCTAATAATGTTTTGAAAGGAGAGAATACAAGTAATTTTAACATCTAAAGAACCATCATGTGTCAACATATAATTTTAAAAAACTTCCTTTAAATGTTCTGTACTACTTAAGTAACCCAGGAAAAGAAAGGGAATAAACGGTGTAAGATAGGCTAGGGAAAAGAAAAAAGTGCTTTGTTGAAAATGTGTGTGTACAAGAAAAGAAACAGGGAGGAGGGGAGATTTGACATAAGAAAGAAGAGAAGGAAATACAAATGAAAAGTGAGAGAAAATAAGGGAGATTGAGTCCAATTATTGAACTAGCAGAAATACAAAGTTACAAAACCCTATGAAACAACCCCTGTTGTGAGAATACATGACTAAACGGGTTTAGATGCAAAACAGGAACTATAATAACAAATGCACATATTTACATATATCCCCCCAAACATATACCATTCCACGCCCAATATTTTTCCTTTTTGGGGCAGCTGTACTGGAAATAATTATTTCCCCCATATTTCTACTAGCTATTGCCTGACAAAAGGAGGAATGTGAAAATATGATTTTCTTTTTCGTGAGTTTTTTTCTGCCTCTGTGGAGCAGCTACTCAGGAGCTCTGGAGGCTGAGTTCTGTACCTCCTGGTCTATGGATGTTTGCCCTGTTGGTTCAGCCAGGGGCAGGACTGACCCCCAGCCACCACTCATTCTCATCTGGACTTGGGCTGAAAGCCTGGGCTGTGTGCCAGGGCTCTTTCTTTCAGAACTCAGGCAAATTAACTTGGGAGGGGTTGCCCAGGAGGTTTCTTTGTTTAGGGGGTTTTATATCCAACAGGGACTATGTTTTAGCTAAGTTGAGATTAATTTACAGGTTACCATCTGGCAAGGTTGATGTAGAAGTGGGCATATAGCGCTTGTGTGTGTAGCAGGCCTACTTTTGCCGGCACTACTAATTATAACTTTAGACACAACAGACATTCTTTAGAGAAGTGAGTGACTGACTTCTGGGCAAGAAAATCCTGCCAATCTGAGGCCTTTGTTGTTATTGTTGTTTTGTCTTTTTGTGACAGGGTTTCACTATGCAGTTCAGCTGGCTTTATATTCATTTTGTAGCCCAGGCTGGCCTTGAACTCACAGTGATCCTCCTTGCCTCAGCTCCCCGTCCTGGGATCATAGGCATGCGCCACCATGCCCAGCCTGGCCTGTATTTACTGAACCCCCATGTGTCCTGCCTAAATCTTCCTGACTTTGCTTTGGTTTGGCCTTTCTTCCTTGGCTGCCTGTCTGTGGACCTCCCTTTGCCAGAATACTTCACACACTCTCATCCCTTTGTGGGCTAGGGTCACTCTGAGAAATCTCGCCTCTCAGAGAGTCCTGCTGGTCCTCAGTGGTCAATGTTGGGAACCTCTTGTATTAGGAAGATGACACCCAAGCCTTAGAAAGCTGAACCTAAACCCAACTACAGTGGCACAGAGAGCTCATTGTTCATTCTTTCCAAGTCTTCTCTTCTCTCTCAGCTTCAGTTTCAGTTACTTATATCACCATGGAGTTCCTGGATTTTGCCTGGTTGTTAGTTTGCTCTGGTGGTAGTGCAGGGATTCCCTGTGATCCATCTCCTGGGCAGAGCTGTGCACTTGATGCGTTAGATGAATCTCCCAGAGCCACTTCTAAGTACTTGGCTGCCTCAAACTGCTTAATCTTCAAAATAAATCTGTTTAGGAATGTTAACTGACCATTTTTATCTGTTTTACTTCCACCACTGACTGACTGACTACATGTTAGCTATTTCAGAGTTTACAATAGGCATTCTGTTACAGTGAATCTTTAAATAATTTTATCCCATTTCATCTATCATACACAAGTTTTATTTCCACTTTTTTAATAATAGATTTAACTTCTATGACTATTACATCCTCTTCAAAACAGTTATTTTGGTGCTAAACACTCTAGTATATATTTTCAAAGAAATTAAAAGACAGTAAAGTGTCCTTTCTATCTAGCCATTGTTTATACTGTTTCTATCTCTCTTCATGTTTTGGAGGAAGATATAAGTTTCCATTAATCAATTGTTCTTCATCCAGTGTATGTCCTTTAGATTACTTGTTCTGTAGTTCTACTGGAAATTGTTTCTTTCAGCAATATCTAATATCTTAAAAATTCCCTATTTTGTCCTTACTGTTGGGAGATATTTTTACTTGATAGAGATTTCTAGGTTTATAGGTCTTCTCTTTCAGCACTTTAAATATGAATTTCCATTATTTTCTTATTTGCATTATTTTGATGAGAAGTATATCATCATTTTTCTTGTAATTCTTCGAAGTGTGTCTTTCTACTTGTGATTTTTCAGTGTTTTCTGTATTATTCAGTTTGATTTGGCTTTGCTACTTGTATTTTTGGAATTTGTTCTATTTCCTGGATTTGCTTAGTTTTGATTGTTTGTTTGTTTGTTTGTTTGAGGCAGGGCCTCACTATGCATTTCAGGCTGGCCTTGAGTTCACTTTGTATCCCAGGCTGGTCTTGAACTGGCAACAGTTCTCCTGTTTCAGCCTCCTGAGTGCTAGGATTACTGGCTTGTACCACCATACGCAGCTAGTTTTGAAAATTTTAAAGAATCAGTGCCTTCATAATTCTCACAGAACATTCCAGTTGTCGGCCCCTAACCTTCTGTCCTCATCTGTCTTTCTTTCCTTATTCTAGATTACTACACAGGTGGTTGGGGCCCAGCAGCCAGTGAGCCCTTTTTCTTTTCTATCTTTCCCCGCTTTTTGCTCTGAGCTTTAGTGGATAGTTTTTAGCAAATGTTTTGATGTTCTGCAATCTTTTCTTCTACAGAATATAATCACTGGCATAGCTTTCTAGTGAATCTTACATTACAGATAATGTATTTTCAGTTTTAAAATTTTTATGTTTCTTTTGTGTAGTTTTCAAGGCTTTCCCGCTATTCACCATATACACATCTGTCTGGTGGGCAGGGGTTATTATTGTATTTTTCTGGGACATCTTTCTGTCCTCACAGCCTTTGCCAGAGTACCCTGCCCAAACTGGTAGAGTTTTGCAATTTAAGTGAAGAAAATTTGTTTCTTGCTAAGATTTAGGTCCCATGTCTTTTAATCACATTGAAACTGACCATTTTTAATGTGTTTAAGGTCTTTTTATTTCTGTAAACTGATTACTTACAATTTGACTGGTTTTGATTTGTAGCAAGTTTCATTATAGTATGGGAATGAGTCCTTCATTGATGTAAGTTAAAAATATTTTTCCTACTTTATTTTTGATCCTGTTCTTGTTTTTATAGTTTTGTTTTTGCCATGATAATTCAGTTATTTCCAATATGTAAATTATCTCAATCCTCCTAGTAACTTTCTCACCTACTAATGGCTTGATTTTTCTTTCATGAATATGTTTGCTATTGCTTAAGCAAAGCGTGTTTCCCTCCAGTTCAGTTAATATATTCACTTGTTGGACATCACCTTTTTATTTATTCTTTTAACAACCATTTCTTGTGGCCTATTGTACACTAGAATTTCTGTAGAATGAAAAGGAAATGTAGGTCTCTCATTCATAGGGACCCAGTGCCACATAGAGGAGGCATCACGGTGCCGTTCTGTATTATTTGCATGGTGCTTCACAGTACCAAAGGAAGTACTCCTCTCTGGTTAGGAGACACATATCAGGGCAGCTTTATACGTGTTGCATAAATCCAAAATCTAAACAGGAAAAAAATAGCATTCAGAACTGAATTGCATCACATTACACTCAAAGTTTTAACTTTTGAATACTTGATCTCAAAGTTCTAAATTAAGCTGGGTGTGGTGACTCATGTCTGTAATCTCAGCACTCAGAATTCTGAGGCAGGAGGATTGCTGTGAGTTCAAGATCAGCCTGGGATACATAGTGAGGCCAGCCTGGAATACACAGTGAGACCCTTTCTCAAAGAAAAGAAACACTTCTAAATCAGAACTAAATTTTTGTCCAGTTGCTCAATTGCATAGATGTTGGAGTATATTACACAGCGTTATGCACTCGCTTATGTACAGTCACTTCTGTTTCAGGTGGTTTAATACTGGCTGCTGATTACTCTCAGCTTGAACTAAGGGTCTTGGCTCATTTGTCTCGTGATCGTCGTCTCATTCAAGTATTAAATGCCGGATCTGATGTTTTCAAGAGCATTGCCGCAGAATGGAAGATGATTGAGCCCGAGTCTGTGGAGGATGATCTGAGGCAACAGGCAAAGCAGGTGACCTTAGTGGACAGCTTGATAGAAATCTAAAGAATTTAAAGGTTCAAAATTCAATTATCTCAATTATTTGTAGTTGAGGAACATTTTCTCTGTCTTTGGATGTTTCCAGCCACATTCATCTGAGCCGGACTTATGGTGTTTATTATTCTTTCCTTTTTGGTGGCCATGGACAGAACCAGACAGATGCCACTTGGTGTTAAGAAAGCCTTGTGTATTCCAGGCCATAATAAGGCTTGTCACAATGCCCTGTACTCAGTAGATGCTTGTATAAAAGTGGTAGAGATCATTGTAATTGTTGTGCTGTTTACTTAAGGTTATGTATATATGTATGTATGTGTACTCTAAATCTTTTCCTAGTCAGTAAATGTCCTGATATAAGGTTCCATATTTTCATTTTTTAATTTTTCCACATCAAGCAATCAAATATATTGTATAGAAGATTCTAAGCATTTGTTGATAAATTAATATTGCTGAACTTAAATTATAATTAACAGTTGGTGTCTGTTTAGCCTTTTGGGGCTGGTGAAGCTTCATGTTGCCCTTGTACCTTTGAAATGGATTCATTTGAGCTCTTATTCCTGGGTGACTTTTAGGCACAGAGGTCAAAGGCCACTTGTATGTATTTCCTAGCCTTGATTAGCACTGGTACTTCCTTATTGGGAGGCACGTGGCTGAACAACAGGGTGATTGCCTCCGGTGGAGGCTCAACACCCGCTCTGAGCTCACGTGCCATGCGTATTACATATATGCTTCAAATCATTTTCTGTTGTTGTGCCTAACTGGCTTCCTCTCATCATTTTTTGTCTAGAATCAACTTTTGTCTTTTTCCACTATTAGTATAGCCAGCTCTGTCCTGTGAGTTTCTTTTTTATTTTTATTTTTTTATATTTAGTACAGGATCTACAAGGTCTCACTACACAGATCAGACTTGTAGTGATCCTCCTGTTTTCAGCCTCCCAAGCACTGGGATTACAGACACGTGCCACCATGACCAGTCTCAGTCACCTGGGGACAGGGTGAGCAGGCACTTCTGGATCAAACAATCACCCTGCCCAATCCAATTGCTGAGCCTACCTAAGCAGGTGCTTAAGTCCACTGAGCTATCTGGCCTGCCCCTAAAAAGATTTTTAAAAAGAAAAAAGGGTGTGATAGTGGGAGGCCTTCTAACTAACTAATTATTTTTATCACATAAAAATTTTTGGAATTCTGATGCTCATTTAATGCCTGTGGCATTTTTGTGTCTTGTTTAACATTTATATAGAGCTTGCTTTATGCTGGTTTTTCTAAACTCTTTCTTAAAAAATTCATTTTAATGAGAAAAAAAGATAAAACATAAAATAGCAATGAAACAGTTTCAAAACAGGTTAGTAGGACAGTTACAATAATTAATACATTGCATATTGTTGTCTTCATAGTAGTTATTCAGAGGACAAGATGCAGACATGGTATCTTGTCTTAGCAATATTAGTACAAACCTTTCCTCTCAATGAACTAAGAGGTGAAGTGATTAGTCAGAGAGTGTATGTCTGTGAGTGGTGGCACTAAGCTTGAACCTAAACAATAGTTATGTTTCGTCAGAATCTCTGCAGTGTCTTAGCTTGATCTTTTCCCTCTACTGCTCCTGAAGTTTCCTCAGGATTTTGTTTGCATTTAACCCATATAAATTCTGCATTGGTTGGATGGTACGGGGCTATAATTCAAAATTACTTATTTCCAGGGAAGTGGTCTCTACATTAATAGACAATTTATTCCTTTAGTCCTGTCCATAGTTAAGTAGAGGGATGTTTATCATACTTTCTTTCCAGCTTCGTGGTGCTTCTTTAAACAGACATTAATGGGATATTCCGAGGAGTAAAAACTGCTCTAATAGTTGATGGATAGGTGACAAATAGAAATACATCTTTCCTTTTAGAAGGTGACTTTTATTAAAACATATACACATTCAAATTCACTTATACTTTCTCCTCTTTCTCTCTTAAGAAATAATACTAGCTGGGTATGGTGGTACACACCTGTATCTTAGCACTCAGAAGGCTAAGGTGGGAGGCTTTCTGTGACATCATGGCGAGCCTGGGCTGCAAAGTGACTTCACGGCCAGGTGGAACTAGAGAGCAAGATCTTGTTTCACAAAGAAACAAAAAAGCACCAAAGTAGATTTGATTCACTATGAAATAAAAAGTTTACCAAAATTTCAATCCAAATGAACTGGTTATATTTGCATTTTATATAGTTCAGATTTAATTTCTCTACTAAACAGGATGACTCCCTTTCAGATTTGCTATGGAATCATTTATGGAATGGGAGCTAAATCTTTAGGGGAGCAGATGGGCATTAAAGAAGACGATGCTGCTCGCTACATTGACTCCTTCAAGTCTAGATACACAGGTAAAGAAGCTTGAGTGCTGAATGTCTTCTAGATGCTGTGGTCTGCAGTCCAGATTCCCCATGTTAGATTAATTCAAAAGTATGTTCCAGAATTTTCTAACTAGATTTCTCTTTTCAGAAAGTTTCCTCAAGCATCATTCACAGCAAATAACATGAACTTTACTTAATGTAATTATTTACTAAGATACAATTTTTTTCATAAAAGTAGGGACAAAGATGAATAAGAATTCTGAGAGAAAATTCCTGTGATAGAATAGTTTGGCTGTCTGAAGTTAAATGTCCTCTGACAGTTTTTCTAAATATAATTTACATACAAAAAATCTACACACAAGAAGTCACCCTTTTCAAGTATACAGTTCTACTAATTTTGACAAATGTATGTGCTCATATAACGTACATCACATTCAAGATACAGTATGGTCACTATAATCCCCGAAAGTTCTTTCATCTTCCTTTGTAATCAATTCTGACTCTATTCCCATTGGGATTTACTAACCAATGTTTTAAGAAAAGAAGTGCAAAGATTTGCAAGGAAAAAGAAAACTGCTTTTTGAAATGTAACTTTATCATGAACATAGTACCATGCACATGGATTTTACAAAAAAGACCCCATTAGAACAAATGACTAAATTTTGGTAAGATACCATCACATAAATTTATTCTGTAAAACCTGTCACATTTTTATATACTATCAAATTGTCAGTGATTATTATCCAAAAAATATGAAATACTGGGGCATAAATTTAGCAGTGTATGTGTATTGAAAATTCCAGAACGTACAGAATAGACCATGTTGATTTTTTTTTTTTTTTTTCGAACCGGGGATTGAACTCAGGTCCTCAGGCTTGCCAGGGAAGTGCTTATTCCACTGAGCCATCTCCCCGGCCCCCATGTTGATTTTTTGAATCACATTTTGATGATGATTCTTTATAAGTTGTCATGGATTTAGTGCCGTCCCAATCTAAATTCCATTAGACTTTTCTGTAAAATTTGACAGGCTGATTGTGAATTTGTATAGACATCTAAAGGGCTTAGAATTACCATAATAATATTTTAGGGAAAAATTACAGTGCTGAGAACTTAACTTTCCTCATATTAAAAATTAACATAAAGTTTCAATAATGAAGGTAGAAATAAAGTAGGCTTAGAGAACAGTTAAACACAGCAGAGAGCCCAGAAAGACCTACAAATATATTTAGTTGATTTTCAAAAGTTGTGGTAATTTAAAAGATGAAGGATAATCTTTTTAGAAGTTAGTGCTAGGTAACCAGGTACTCATATAGGAAAGAAATGAACCTCAAATTTTGTATGACATTGAGTGCAAAATGTGACTCAATTGATAGGGTATGTAGACTTAGAAGTAATAGCTAAATTACAGATATTTCAGAAGAAAACAAGAGAAATCTTTTTAATATTGAGATAGGCAAAGATATCTTAAGTAATAAAACAGTAAATTAACCAAATAGGAAAACATTAATGAAAGCACAATTAAGAAAATATAAAAGCAAACTGTGGCTTGGGAGAAAATATTCGCAATATGTACTGCCCACAGAGACTTACATCTGTAATATGTAAGGAACTCTTAAAACTCAGCGTTTCGAAGCAAACAGTCTAATACAAGTAGAAAGATTGAGCAGTTACTGTACCAAATACCTGCATGATATTAATAGTTATCATTAGTCATCATGGAAAAGCACATTAAAACTAAAGAGAAACCATTACAAAAACAGCAGGATGGCTAAAATTAAAAATATTGTTATCTCTTTTACTTGGTGGCACTTTAAAAAAAAGAATCATTTTGGGAAAAGTGATTTCCTCTTTCAAATACACTTAACCATAAGACTCTGAAATGCTAGTTTTTGGTGTTTGTCCAAGAAAATAAAAATACGTGTCCAAAGAAAGATTTGAAATGAATGTTATATCAGCTAGATATTGAAAAGGGGCTAACTGTATATTACTCGGAAAATGGAGAAACAAGTTTTTATATATCTCTACAGTGGAATACTACCAGTCAAGGAAAAGGAGTCAAAGATTGATATTCATGACATCTTAAAATGCTTTTTCTTGGGAAAGAAGGCAGACATATATAAAAACATACAGTACAACCCAATTTTGTATTAAAAATTAAGACAGTGTTTGTTATCAAGCAGATCAGTAAGTGCCTGTGGCTGATAATGGGGCTGAGAGTGTTTTCTCTCTGTAGTAGTACCAGTGCTAGGGCGTGGATATTTGTTAAAATATGTCTAGTTGGGCATTCACTTAAAGTGACTTTCTAAAACTTTTTTTTTTTTTAAATTATACCTCAGAATTTTTTTTGAGTAGCTCTGACATTTTGAATATTGAAAGACCTAGTATAGCAGTGAGGTGAGAATGTGTGTAGAAGCACAGCCTCTCGTTCACCCTTTTGTCAGCTCTTCTTCAGGCTATGGTGTCTCAGTGATTCTTCCCAGGAAAGAAGGGCATCCTGACCACTTTCCCAGGTTCCTGTGCCTGTGCTGGTCAAACCTCTCCTGCAATTAGTCCTCCTGGCCCTGTGGGCTTCGCCCCTCCTCTACTATTCATCTCTCCCAGTGTCTTTCTTGAGCCAACCCTATAAGAGAAAGCCTCAAAAGAGAGTTTCCATTGGGAAGCATTTGTGTTTATTACCTACATGAGCAGAGTGGTAGAAACCAGAGTCTGCACAGGTAAATAAAGATAGCCCCACGTGGTTTCCATCACCTGCTGACATGATGAAGAGGCCGGGCACCCTAGCAGGGAAGACACTCTTGTGCAAAGACAGGAATGAACAGGGTTGGGCTGCCCCTAACAGTGGTGCCTACCTCCTGGGGTGCTGTGGGTACAGCCATGGCCCTGGACCTGGATGGCAGGGGATGGGTGCTGACTAGGGAATCTGAGAGTTTTGGATTCTGCCACTCCACTCCCAGGATCTCACCGTGTGGTACAGGCTAGCCTTCAAATTGCTTATGTAGCCCAGGCTGGCCTCCAACTCATGGTTATCCTCCTGCCTCTGCCTCCTAATTGCTGGGATGTGTTTCTGCATTTTAAGAAGTTGAGATTGCTATTTCTAGTGAAATGTTTTTTAATTCATGTATTAATTTCAGCAAGATCATATTTTCTGTCAAAATATAAATAGTAAAGAGGAGCTATTGGAATATTTTAGGCCCTCAAAAAGTGCAGGAAGATACTATAATTAAGGAAAGTAAATTAGAGTAAAAACCCTCAAAGTTCCTGAATTGTAACAGAATTTAGTGTCATGGAGTTTTGTTTTTGCTGATTTAAAAACTGATTATATTACTTCTTTTTTTGGTGGAACTGGGGATTGAACTCAGGCCCTTGCACTTGCGAGGGAAGCACTTATTTTACTAAGCCATCTCCCCAGCCCCAGATTATGTTACTTCTAAAGTTACTTTCCCCTAACTTTTCAAGTCTATGGAAAGCAAATAAAGGTTTGTAGGTATAGTTTTGATATATTAGAGTTAAGAATCATGAGCAGGATTTTGGTTTATTTCATTCTGTGCATTGTAGGGTGCAACTAAGTAATTGTGTATTTTCTTTGTAGGAATTAGTCGTTTCCTGAGAGAGACAGTGAAGAACTGTGAAAGAGATGGGTTTGTGCAGACCATTCTGGGAAGGCGTAGATATCTGCCAGGAATCAAAGACAACAACTTTTATCGTAAAGCTCATGTATGTTGAAATTTCTGTGGATTTTTAACTTAATGTTTTAAAGACATGTGTTTGAATTGACTCTTTGTACATACTCAATCATGGTTTTGTTAAGGATTTCTGAGATGATGGGATTGTCATTGGGAGGCTAATGTTAACTGGGTCTATTTAACACATGAACTTAAAGGTGTTCCATTTCAGTGAGCCAGTTACTTATTAGCTTTGGCAACACATTGTGGAACACCTATGTTTATTTTATTTTTGATTGTTCTGTGGCCTACATACTGTATATTCATTTGTTATATCATCCCAGATTTCTAACATTTCTCATATTGTGGTAGTTTTTAGATCTTGCTGTTCATTTTAAAAGTGCTATCTTATTAGAGGTTGTTAAGATTCCTAAAATAGTGAGCAAGGCTATTTTTAACATACTGAAAATATTCATTGATATTTGCTGAAATTATGATTAACTCAGATATTTAAGTACACAGTGGTACCTCGCTCACGAACTTCATTCCATGATTCTGAAAGAGATGCACCACCTGCTGGAGAGTTTACAAACAAAAACAAATTTATAAAATGCTTCTGTTTATCAACCAAATTGTTCGCATGTGTAAGATTTAAATTCTCTTATTTTTATCTTTTAGTTCTAGATCTTCTGTTTTCTTATTTTATGATATGATGTTTGACCCAAGTCAGTAGTCTGATAAATCTCAAATCTCTGTAGCCTGTTGTTTTTACCTTCTGTTTTTCTTAAAAAGTTATATTGTCTCAAATCTTCATGGTCCTGGCTTTATTAATGAGTATAAGCATTGCATAGGAAAGATGAGTTATTTGAACTCATAGACGATGTTAGTTTTATTCAGAAAGAATTTACCTTTCTTCATGCAAACTAAAGTGACCAACAATATAGAATTACTCTGATCTGACTTCTGGGACAGAAGGCCACAGGGTCAGACTATTTCTAGTTTAGTTCCCCCCCCCCCATAGAGTAGGGATGGCGAACATTTTAAACTGAGCACCAAAGCTGCAATCCAAAATCCAAAATCAGTTATTTATCTTTAAGTACTAACACTGCAAATAAACCTGAACAATGATGTTTTTAGTTTAGAAAAACCAACTTATCTGATGCTTGGCTGTTGGAGTGACCTGGCTAGCCTGTGAACAGAGGGTTCTGGGTGCCTGCTGCAGCCCGCATGCCATAGGTTTGCCACCACCCCTAGAGTGTTGGTTTTGCTTGGCAACCTGATAGTTGGCCAGACCCCTTCTATCTGGACCTAAATGCTTCCTCCCTATGGTGTACAGGACTAAGCGGCATTCTTGGCTTTGTAGCTTGAAAAGCCCCTTTTCCTGAATCAGTTGATTCCCTTGGAGAAGTGCTGACCTCCTTGGACAGAATCACTTCCCTGCTTTCTCTCTAGATTTCTAGTTCCTAGAATTCACTGGCTTTTCAGCTCCCTAAATCATTCATGGGAGCTTTTGGGAGGCCTGGTTTTGCCAGCTGAGATATTGTCAGTGGGAGTTAGTCCTAATAGCCTAATCTTTCATTCTCAGAAGCCTGTGGATTTTTTTCCATGTTTTTAGCCAAAAGGTTATTTTTTTTTTTGTATTTTAGGGAAGGGTCTACAGGATGTTCAGGGTCTCACTACTAGATTGGATTCGTAGTGATCCGCCTATTTACAGCCTCCCAAGAGCTGGAATTACAGGCACACACCACCACACCATCTGTTTTTTATTTAGATAAAATGTTCTGATGATGGAAGAACTGACTTGTCTTTTTTTGTTTGTTTGTTTTACATGTTTGCAGTAATTTCAATTTAGTCATTTTAGGGAATGGGTATATAAGTACATAATTCAACTTGTTTCTCTTTTTTAATCTCATTCTCTCATCTCCTTCCTTCCTCTGAATCCCCTTTGCCAATTTTCATTCCTATCGATATTATTAATCTTAGCTCACTTTTATGACATAGAATATTTGTATTCATTGAGATTTTTAGGTTCCTGTACCTGGCATATCTTTAACCTACTTATTTCCCCTTCCCCTCCTTTTACTGAGCCCCTTCCCATTTGTGAGAGATCCTTCCCCTTGTCTCTTTCTATTCACCATTTAATGTGTTCTTTGTACTTTGCTGACTCACATGAGAGATACCATCAGCTTGAGTGTCTGATTTTGCTCAACATAATATTTTTTAGGTGAATCCACTTTTCTAATTGTCTAAACTTTGTCCTAAAAGCCAAGTAGTATTACATTATATATAGCTATCACGTTTTCTGAACCCAGTTGTCTGTTAATAAGTATACAGATTACATCTAGGATTCAGCTATTATGAATTATGCTGCTGTAGACATTGATGTGCATGCATTACTACAGTGTGCTGTCATAAGCACTTTGGGGGAGAATACCTAGAAGGGAAATAGCTGACTCATAAGGGATTTCCAATTCAGTTCTTTGAGAAATCTCCCTACTGATCTCCTTAATGTTTGTACTAGTTTACATTTCCACCAGTAAGGTAGGAGGATTGCTTTATCACTGCAGCCTTCCCAGTATTATTTTTTTCTTGGAGATTGCTATTTTTTTCTGGCTGAAGAAGGAATTTTAGTGTTTTATTTATTTTGGTACCAGCAATTGAACTTGTGATCTTGTGCTTGCCAGACAGATGCTTGTACCACAGATCTATATTCCTGGTCCTTAGTGTTGTTTTTTTTTTTT